TATATCAGATAACTAATATCTTTGTTGATATCTTAGGATCCAGATTAATATCTAACCAAAGCTATTGTCAAGATTATTAATATGTTCAAATTCTTCTTCATTTCTGTTTTCAATATCAGAAGCAGAATAATCTATTATAGTTTTCTCATTATCACTTTCAGGCTCTATTTTTGCAACTTCTTCTTCATTATCAGAGATATTTAAAGTCTATAACAATATCAAGTTTTTCTCTAATTTTAACTTTCATTTTTTTTGTTATTTTTAGTTACAAAAAATGATTCTTCTTGAAGAAATGATTCTTTGTGAAGATTAAAATTAATTAAAGTAGGGGAAGGAATATTAGTTTGAGATATACCACTGTCTTCTGTTTGAAGATCTGTAGAAAAAGAGAAATCATCTTCAGGTTCAGCAAAACCTACTAATTCTTTATACATTTCATATTTTGCAATATGGATATCTCTTGTTTAAGGATTACAGAGTTCTTTTTCACCTTTGTACATCTTACATATACAAATAACCTTTTTTTGAGTTTTTACTGTAGGTAATTTAATAAATATTTGATGACTTATTTTTAAAATATTTTAAGAGTTAGATGTTAGATATCAGAAAATAAGGCAGACAATAAACTTTTAAATACAAAATTTCATAATATATTTTATTATTTGCTATATTACTATAATTTTTTTATAGTGATTAAGTTCAAAACTATGACAACAAGAATAGATACCAAGATATCTTATTGAAAATTCCCTTTTACATCTCATATTTTTTAGCTACAAGTCAATAGATATCATTTAAAAATTTACTTTAACATCACATTTTTAAAAATTTTTTGCAACATTTTTAAACTATTAGTACAATTAAAGAATGGAAACTTATAGAATGTTTGTTTACTATACATAAACCAGAATAGGGGGTTGTCTAAAGCGAAGTAGAATCATGTGATATTTGACCAATCAAATTATTGAATTTTGATGATCGCTGGCGGAGCAAAACAAGAAATAAAACAAAAAACCTGAAAAATACAAAAAATGGCAGTCTAAACCTACCTCAGGTGGGTTAATAAAAAATGTCGGGAAGGCAATTTTACTTATATATAACCACCTAAAACCTAACCTAACTCTAATGTAAGATAACCCTAACCCTAAAGTTAATTCAATAAAATATATATTATAAGAATCTACTCCGCTCTCCCGAAAATGGCAATAGTTATTGCGCTGGAAGTTGCTGTAGGATTGATAAGCCGGCGTTTCCCGCCCGCCGAAGCAATGAACAGTGCTTCTTCCGACACATCAAATTGCGAATTCGAGGTGATTTGTCGATCTTTTGTTTAAATAAGGGGTCGTCTAAAGCCAGGTGAGTTCACGTGACTAACAGCCTATCAAGTCGTAGAAATTTGATTTACTCGGATCAGCCCGGCGAAACCAAAAAAAAGAAAAAAAGTGAACCCAAAAAGACACAAGAAACGAGTGTTTAAACCTGTCTTGCGGTACTAATAAAAAATGTCGGGAAGACAATTTTTCTCATAAGACAGGCCTCAATCCTAACTCTAACCAGCCTTTACTCCAATTTTAATTATCAATAACATATGAACGCACGGGTTTTAGCCATTCCCTTAAATAAAGTAAATAGGCTGCTCATAATTTAGCCTTTTGGGATTGGGCTGGGCACGGAAAAACATTTGGGCGTGCCTTGGGCTGAAGTATGCTATTCCTATTTTGCCCAGGGCATACCCTCTATATAACGTTATATAACCAAGTACGATCTAACTACGTACGTACAAGAACACTAAAATTCTTTATGAAATTTAAATTATTGGTCCGATCGTGATGGAAATTTGAATTTCGAATTGCATACAACATACAGATATTATGTAAAATACAATATCGATATATACGTACTGTACGTATTTAAACTATGAAATTTGATTTATCGTGCATAAGACGTTCTTGCCTATAATCAGGAAGGGTTTTCTACTTATTCTTTGAATTGTACTATACAGACGGCCTTTATAAATATGTGAGAAGATGTTCCTTGATAGATAATTCTATATTCCTACATTTTAAACCAAAAATAATTTTGTTTACAGATTTATTTTTACTGTTTATTTAGCTTTTAAGGTATTGAATGTAGGCTAAAAGTATGATATTGACTCAGTCTTGACTTATCAAGCTATTTTACTAAACATTAATTGCATTTAGCATTAAAATTCAACATAAATGCCAAGACAACAAATTGGGACCAATACTGGTAAGTTACCAACTAAATATAATGTAATGTTAAAGTTAATAACTAACATTTAACTAAAACTTTTATCTTAAATGTAGAATTTCCTGAAAATATAAATATTCCGGATATTCTTAAGGTCCCCGATGGGAATGCTTTCAAATTCGTTCTATATGGAATCGGAGCAACAGAATATCGATTTAATAAAATTGAATCTACATGGAATATCTGTATGCATCTTGTTCAATAACTTACAAGTCATGATTTATTTTAATACAGTTTTGTAGAAATATAACAATAAATTTGTGTGGCTTCCAAGCAATGTGAAGTGTAGTAATTTTGACTTCTTTTAATTATTCAATAATTTTTCACTTAAGAGATTTATAAATGCTTCTTAGAATTTTTTTCAAACAATTCTCAAGTTGGTTATTAGCTTTTGGATAATACTTCGCATAATACTTGTACTCTTAATTAAATAATTTCAATTAACTCATTACTATGATTGCATTGTTTCTAATCATTTTTGATTTATAGGCAACAGTGAAGTCTTTTACGTTAACTATCCTGAAGACCTTTCCTTTGGTCCTAACTCATTCGTGGCCAAGTCAACAGCTTCCGGACTGGATCAATGTATAAACTCTAAATTTTTTATCTTAACATTATAACATTCTAGTCTGATCGATTTTGTGATTTCTTTTGCAGCTGGTAACACTGTTAAAAACGTCCTAAAATCCATTATTCATGAAGATATGTCATTATGTATTTCTAAAACTATAAACATTGCACCTAATCCCAAACCAAGACTTGATTTTCAGTTCTTAAGTCAGGTTGCGGTAAGTCTTTCTTTCCGGCTTAAGTGTGAAATAGATCTAGTATTTGGTCATGAATTTATAGTTAAACGATCAAAAAAATTTGGCACCCTGATTCTTAATAATATTGCATCCAATGCATTTTATACTATTCATTCACTTCATTTTTATAATCAATAATTGTCGCGGCTGATGCTGAAATTTGGGGTCTCGATTTGAAAATATAAACCCTGCTAAAATCCACATATACTCTTTAATTATCGATTTTTAATCCTAAGTCCTAACCAAAAAAAAAACGGTAAAAAACACCCCAAAAAAATTTTAAAATTTCATATCAAAATATTATAGAGAGACTTTAGTATGATTGGCTGTTTAAATCAATTTAATTTTGCATTATTTATTAAGTACTTTTTAAAAAAATAAAGCTAAATATCAATAAAAAAAAGTATATAGGAGTTTTATTAGGGTCGTAGGACTCCACTATTACAGATAGTCGAAATCCCTTTTTGTTTTTAGAGAAGTTAGCATAATAACGACTTCTAAAAAATAGGTTATTATCATGTTAACTTCTCTAAAACAAAAAGGGATTTTGATTATTTTTAATAGTGGAGTCTATGACCCTAATAAGACTTCCTATATACTCTTTTTTAAACTATCCTTTGTAGATTTATTTTATTTTTTTTAATTAAAAGAGCACTTTAAATTGTATAAATAATGTAAAATTAAATTGATTTAAACAGCCAATCATATGAAAGTCTTTCTATGAATTAAAATAGGCTCAAATTTCAGCATCAGCCAATTTTAGACAATAATCAACTTATTCACTCTTGATAAATTTATAATATTAAAATCCGCCATTAATTCACAGAGTAGTCAAGGGACAGGTGCGTTTTCTGATGTTACATATATCCAAACAGTCAATACTTCAGAACAACTCCCTCCCGTTGGATCTTGTATGTTCAACTTTGTATTATATATTATTGTAAATAGTAAAATGACTTAATTTGTCATCAAAATTTAATTGGTATATCATTTTAATAGATCCTGACGGTTATATTTGCAGCATTTTTGTCACTGTTACTCGCTTATTTTATAAGAGTGCCTAATAAAATTCAGTGAGATGGTGTGTCATGGTGAAGGCAAATTTCTGCTTTATATATATCTACATGAACATCAAATCATTAATTATATGTGAAATATTCAATAAATAAAAATATTAAAGTGAAAAATTTATTAATGCCCTATAAAAAAACACTGACATTAGAGATGGGTTTCATGCGTGCGCATGATTGAGGAACCATGCGCATTAATGCGCATTAATGTGCATTCATAAAGTATTATTTAAATATTCATCGAATGTGAATAGTATTCGAATACTGATACGAATACGAATTCAAACTTGTTAGATGAGATACACAAAAAAGCTGCATTATAGTTAGCTTATACTTTTGATACTAGCATTTGATAGTACACGAATGTCTCATCGCAAAAAAGAAAAATCAATTGTAAGATAGTACGAAAAATGAAGAGTTGGGTTTAGAAAGCGATTAATTTCTAAAATGGTGGAATTTGGCAAAGTTGTGGTAACAGAGACGTACACAAGTAAAGTGTGCAGTCGTTATGGACATATTAAAAAGATTTAGTGGGAAATAAAGAGTTTAGGTGCAATAGTTGTGGACTTAAAATTAATAGGGACTTAAATGGCGCCCGAGGGATTTTCCTTTTGATGAGTTATGCTAATTGATTGATTATATTTAAATACTGTATACAATAGCGATAGTCAATTGATTCAATCCATCCGAATAATACTGCCGATCTCGCAATTTTAACAACGCCGTGTACTACTATTTTTAATTCGCACAATAAACCAATTCCGATTATTTGAATTAAGAGAAAAACGATTGAAAAAATTGGCATTTGATTATAACAAGCATGCAGTTTTATGTGAACTAGGTACAATAGCAATCATGATATTAATACTGAAAATGAATCA